AACGCCAAATGCAGTTTCACGCCCTAGTGGCCTAATGGCGTGCACAGAGCAGAGGCCGTGCAAAATTCCATGCAATTTGCGACACATTCGTGGATTTTGCTCAAGCACAGTGAACTCCCCAAATAAAAAGCCCTTACAACAAAACTCGCATGTGCCGCGCAATCAAAACAACCCCGGAAGAATTGCGTCACAGTATCATGCCGCTTCATACCAAAATCGGCATAAATACTATTTTGGTGTTTACCCCCCTGCTCGTATGACATTCCAATAATCTTAGAATCTAATGAAATTTGTGGTTCTGTCATTCCCTTACCATTACAATAGTTGGACTGTAATAATTCCATGGTAAAAAATAATTAATGGAGTAATTAAATGACTGCACACTTTGGGGGAATCAAGCAAAATTTTATTGAGCAACTAGCAAACCACTTTTTTATCGTGAAGCTAAGAACGATTTTGCTATTTCCCATTTTGGTTTTTAAACCACATTCGAGCCCCGAAAGTTATTCCAACTAGTAGTCTCAGTTACCAAAATGAAATGTTGTTGCGAAATTTCATTCGATAAATTATTTTGAAGATCAAACAAGTGTCCCATTTATTTTATGGAATGACAAAGTTCATTTTGATTTTCCCTGTCTAAATTATGGGTTCACCAAAAGAACACAGGTCTAATTGTAATATGCTTAGAACAAAAGGGTTTTATTTCCAGCACTTCCATATCCAAACAGTTATCAGCTGCTTTTTAGTAAAAATTCTTCAAAAACAAGCTTAGGATTAGCTTATGAATACCATTCAAATTGCAAGCTATGTATATATTCTGTATCAGATTACAATATTTTTTATCAGTATTGACAAGGAGGAGTACGATAAGTAGATGTGCATTAGCCTCAAAAAAATAAACTTCGTCTATTTAGTGTCAAACAGTCCATAAATAAGTAGAGACTAAAGGTTTCACTCATTTTAATGAATAAAACTTCAAAAATGGTTGAATTTATTATTTTAAAACTATATTCGTAATTTTTCGTGCCTTTGAGGAAGCGTGCATATTCATCGGCTTTACTCCAGCGTTTCATGGTCTAGCTAGTGCTTATCGCCTTCATAAAATGCATCATGGATAGCTAATAATACCTCATGGACATAAATAACATTGGTGAAATGAGTTTACATATTACTTCGCATATCACGGTACGGTGCAAGAAATCTTGATTCCAACGTGAAACATTTAAGCTCAAATTGGCACAATTAATTTGTTGTGCAAGTTTGAGCGAATAATTCAGAGAGCATTTGGTAAAAGGCAGGACTATGTGGCTCAGCGATACCTACGTTAAAAATCTTTACCTTCAACTCAGACGTAATTCCAATAAGAATCTATATGAGCGCAAAATTAAACGACGCATGAAAGCCCCCAAAGTTATTGTAATACTTATGTTGTTTTAATGGGAGCTTTCAGAGAGAAGGAGGAGAGACAAGTAAAACCTCGTGACTGAGGCGTGAACGTCCTGCAACCCCGAGAGCGGTTCCATGTCCACATCCCCTTAAACTCTTTACTTGCTTCTCCCACTTACTTATCCTAATAAACACGTCGAGGCCAAATCAACCTAGGTGTTCTAAGAGTATGAGGACCAGGGGAGGTGAGATCTACGAGCCTCGTCCTACATTCTGTGTGCTTAAAATTGGGAAGTTTTAAGCCGTGCTATTGTAGTTCATGCATAGAAGAAGGGGAATATGACCTTTATTTCTCAAATCACAAATCGTATTTGATGGATACAGTTTTTCGTTGACATTAGAAGCCTAAAAATTACAAACATTATGCACAAAAGCACAGTTTCATAAAATCTGGAGTCCCGCATTAAATGTCTATCATCTAACTGTGTAGCACCTCGAGACTTTCCTGCAGTTGAAAGTAGACATACTACTCGAGCAGAACATGTATTGTCGAAGTACAGTAGGAATCGGGGCTACTGATGCGAATAGGAGGCCAGGCTGCCCGAAGGATGTAAAATTGTGGAGCCCCTAGCTGACCTGTTATTAAAATCGGAAATCAACCGAACAATCAACATGCTACACTTGGCTATACGGGTCATGTCGATGGGTTGTAAGCTTACGTAGTGCTCTAGAGATGTTGCACAAGAATGCCACCGGTGAAAAATTTACCGATTTAATGAATTTCCGAGGACAAACCGTTTCAAGTCAGTTCGATGCACTTTCTTTTAAGAACTCGTATAATTTATACATCATTATGCAGATTGGACTTCCTAAACTAATGTGAATTCATTGTTAAAAATAGTATCATATGCAAGTTGAGCGATTGCCAATTTCTTAAAGAAGACAGTGC